GGCTTGAGGCTTTGAGGAGATGCATGGAAAGACAGACAAGGTTTTGCTCTTGCTGGGAGCTCTCAGGCTTCCTTGATGGAGAGGATGTCCTTGGACCCAGCCCAGAGGTGGCAGCAATGGCTGGCATACCCAGGCATCCAAAAGACCTGGCCACATGGGTCGGGAGAGTGAACTGTGGGCACAGGGTCTGCACCAGCCTTAAACTGAGGCTTTGAGGAGATGCATGGAAAGACAGACAAGGTTTTGCTCTTGCTGGGAGCTCTCAGGCTTCCTTGATGGAGAGGATGTCCTTGGACCCAGCCCAGAGGTGGCAGCAATGGCTGGCATACCCAGGCATCCAAAAGACCTGGCCACATGGGTCGGGAGAGTGAACTGTGGGCACAGGGTCTGCACCAGCCTTAAACTGTGCCTTGGGGAATTTTGTGTGCCCTTGTGCAGGGGGCGGGAGACTCTGGTCTCAGCTCCGGGATTTGAGTGCCAGTACAGTTGAGTCTGCACCATTTCCACCCCTACAAAGATGCAGGACAGGGAGGGTGTCAGGGCCCACTAGGAGGAGCAGGAGGTTGGCTATATTTTTGTCCTCAGTGGAAGTGGACATGAAGAGGGTCAGCTGAAACTTCTGTCTCTTCCTTTTGGGTGGAGCCTACTTAAATGCAGTAGTTATAATTCAGCTTCTATTTAGTCCAGCAAGAATACTCCTGTGAATCTTAGCTCCTGCCAGATTCTTCAGGCCGGGCTTCAAGGAGGGATCCTGTGGCCATGTGATTATGTAAAGGTAGGTATGTTCTTACTTAGCTTTCCTCTTTTGTGGCCCTCTCCTTCCTTGCCTTTTAGGTACTTCTACAACTGGCCAACAGGAGGAGCAGGGATTGCAGCTGTGAGTACACATTAATGTGTGCTAGATTTGGTGTGGCCAGCACCCAAGGTTAGTTCCCATGAAAGCACAAGGAGCCTCCCTGAAAATTCATGCCAAGGGCTCACAACTGAGGTCCATGAACAGGATTTAGAGTTTCATGTTCACTTTCACCCCCATCCCCCCCATTAGATTAGGCAGAATCTAATGTTTCTGAGTTTAGTGTCCCATTGTTTTTTTTTTCAGATCCTCAAAGGCGTCCTCAAAAGCTGAGATCTACTGGCATGAACACCTGTGACACAGTTCTCACGAGTTCAGCAGCTGTTTTCTGAGAAAGCAAGGAGAACTGAAGCTGGGGCAGAGGGCCTCTTCCACTGCATGGGGTCTGAGTGGGGTCCATGAGAGGTGGCTCCATGAGAGCCTGAGCAAGTGCTTCACTCTAGACCTAAGATTGCTTATCTTAAAAAACAAAACAAAAACTGAGGTTGAACTGGTTTTGACTCCATAGGCTCCCTAGGAAGAAAAGTATGCACACTGCTGGCACATACTTTTAGCATTCATTGTATAGGCTACTTAAAAGGGCATGGGCATCTTATCTGTTAGGGTGGACTACAGTAAAATACAGAAAAGGCTGCTTTTATACATCTGTCTGATGTTTTGGGAGATAGTAAACTCATTGCCTGAGTGATCCCACAGTGAGCCACAGAGAGAAATACATCTAGGAGCTGGGCAGCAAGGTCAGTGGTGCAGGCCATTGAGGCTGGGCCATGTATGGCAGGTGTCGGCAAGAAGCAGTATTGATGTGTCTGCTCCATTCTCCAGGGTTCTGGCCACTGGTTGGTGGCAGCTGTCACAGCAAGACTCCTGGCATTGTGAAGTTAGGGTCAGGAGCTAGACCCTGTATACCAGTGGCCCAGGTAACTGACAGGAACTCAGGGTTCTAATAGCTACGGAGGTTGAATGGGGGACCTTGCATAGGGACCGGCACCACGGGGTAGGCCACAAGCAAAGGAAGAGTTCATGTTGGTGTTTGCAAACTTAATTTTTATCCCCAGAATGGAGCCTTGGACTTCACTATGCATACCCATAAACACTGCTTAAATCATCTCTTAAAAGTGTAAAAACTATCTATGGAAGTATTTTTTAGGCCTCTCTGAAGCCATTGTTGAATTTCTAGTGTCTCAGTTGAAAATATTGAATGCCTACCTCAGTTGTGACAGTGGACTGCTCATGACATCAGCCAGTTACCCTAGTATACCCATACCTACAGCACATAACCATACTCCAAGCTAAAGACATTAGCCCCTTTTTATCTTGAGGCAGGGTCATCTAGTTACCCAGGCTGGCCTCAAATTTATAATCCTCCTGCCTCAGCATCTTGAGTAACTAGAATTATAGGCATGTGCCATCTCGTCCAGCAGAAATAATGGTTCTGAAACAGATAAGTGATCTAGGTGTCCTAATGCTTGTGTTTTACAATTGACTATAGCTATTGCTGTGTTCTAGCATATTCCACAAAATTCCATTAAATTTTGAGTATTTTAATTCATCACTTTTCAGTATTGTGTCTCCTAAAGTCATTGCGTCACTTTCTTGTGTCGCTGCCAGCTGTAACTGTCACTGGCTGGTCATGCTGACCTAGCGGCCTGTGTAATAGTGCCAGTGACTTCAAACAGCAGTTAATGCTGTTTCTTTGTGCTTCCTTCCAGGCCAACCCACCAATCTTCTACTTTATAAGTGGCCAAAAGATCTCTAGTCATAGAGGT